ACGTTGTACACGTTTCCAGACTGAAACCGTATCACCCTCCTCGTTCGTCGCCGCCGTACTAAGCGCCGTGACGGCGCTTCCGCCGCAGGGGAGTGATGTTACGGTGCATAATCGACAGGAGCAAGCGTGGCACTTAGCGAAGATGAAGAAGACGCCTGTGCGTTAGGCGCTTGCACGAGAGGCAACTCAGTCATCTTGTTCGGCTGCCGATTCTCGGTGGACGCTGTCCTGTAAGCCAAGACCTCGCACCGTCACAATATAAAAACCTTGTACGCACGCGCCTAGAGTACAGTGCTATAATCTATCAGTCTGCGACACCATCAGCCTTAAAGATTCTCGATTTTGTCCACCGTCTAGGCATACGCCTCTCCCTCTCTACGGGTGCTTTTCGAACTAGCCCCGTAGACAGTCTGTACGTAGAATCAAATTAATGCTCGCTCCACCTGCAGAGATGTCACCTGTCTTTTACATACTAATTCAAGGTTAACGCTGATGAGGAACATCCCGCTCAATCCACAATTAACGATCTTTCTAACTGTACTTTGTTCATAACCATCCTTCGCTGAGACAGCCCTACTCACTTCGCGTCAGGAGGCTCGCTGAGGAAACAGCTGTGCCACTTTTAGAACAACGTTTGATAGCTCCAGCAGTATATCTGCCACCATGGAAGTGGCAAGTCATAGACTGCGATCTATCTTTCATGGAAGTCACTAAACACGCACCTTCTGTACATACCCGCACGCACTTCCTCGAACTCCAACACAAGTACACTTGCCCAGAATTTTTCACAGATGCTTCAAAGTCTCACACTGGTGTGTCCTATGCAGCTGTTGGCCCATCTTTCCCCAACTCTAGTATCCTGCACTCCGAAACAAGCATCTTCACAGCAGAGGCTCACATGGTATTTGTGGCTGTCAAGCATATTAAGAAACTGCAACTACAACGCGTGGTAATATACACAGATTCGCTGAGCGTTGTGGTGGCTCTGAAAACACTTCTAAAACATAAAAATCCTGTCCTTGCGTCCTTGTACTCTCTGTTATGCACGATCTACGCTCTTGAACGGCATGTTGTGGTCTGCTGAGTGCCGGGGCTCCGGGAAATCGCTGGAACCTTGTTGGCGGATCAGCTTACCGCATCTGCCCAAGACAGCGCTGGCGCCAATACATCTGTAGCTGTCCCTGCGCTTGATCTGAAACCATTTCTACGACGGGAGCTCAGGGCGTGCTGGCAGGGCCTATGGGATCGGCAAGCAGAACAGAAACTGCATCTTGTCAAGCAGAGACTTGGAAATTGGCCAACAGTATACAGATCACGCTACACACAAGTTACCCTTACAAGACAACAGATAGGACAGACATACTCGACACATCCATACCTTTTGTCTGGTAGGGATGCACCATTGTGTGAGAGATGTGGAGAACCGCTCACGGTTCTCCACATCCTTGTCCAGTGCAGTGATTTAGATTTTCTCACAAAAAAAAAACACTTTTTATATCCCTACCGACAACATATACCCTTGCACCCATCAATGTTCATTGGTAGAGAACCCCTTTTTCCTCATAAATCATTGCTGGCATTTTTCACAGATGTACGTACCTTTAATGTCATATACCCAGACACTCCGTAGCACGATCTCTGAAGAGAGGTCGCTGCCGCGGTGGCTGCATCTCCATCACTGTCCCACTATCACGACGTCTCGTCATTTGGTATTATTGCACATATTTCACGTCAATGTCATGGTTTTAATGCTTCTATGTTTTTACCCGCGTTAGCGCGAGGAATTTTAGAGCCCTTTTACAGCCACACATCATATCATTGTTCATATATCTAGGCTTTTGAAATGGCAGCTCTTTGGCCATCAATTGGCCTTTGCGCCATTAAAAACCACTTATCATCATCAACTAATCTTTGAAAGGCTATCTGTAGAAGTAACAATGTAGCTATAAAGTGGGAAAACAGGGGCTTAGGCAGGGGTGTCCTCTGTCACCCTTGGTTTTCATGATGTACCTACAAGGTTTAGAGTCCAAATTAGAGGGAAGTGGACTGGGCTTCACCCTCTCCTCGTCAAACAAGGAAAACCCATTGGACAGGCACCGCCAGCATAAATGTACGCAGATGATATAGTGCTGATGGCCGACAACAAGGAAAATTTGCAGAGATCGATGGACATCTGCGGTAATGAGGGAGATAGGTTAGAGTTCAGATTCAGTAAGGAAAAATCAGCAATCATGATTTTTTAATCATAATTAGGGTAGTGAGCTTAGAATACAGGAGGTCACGCTAGAGATAACAGCTAAATACAAATATCTGGGCGTATGGATAAGCGATGGGACCGAGTATCTAAGGAAACACAAAATATACGTGACGACTAAAGGTAAAAAAAATGCAGCGGTGATTAAAAACAGGGCACTGTGGAATTGCAATAAGTATGATGTTGTGAGAGGAATATGGAGAGGGGTCATGGTTCCTGGTCTGACGTTCGGCAATGCGGTCTGTGCGTGAGATCAGAAGTTCAAGCAAGATTAGAAATTAGGCAACGTGGAATGGGTAGGCTTGCTTTAGGAGCTCACGGGAATACACCAAATCAGGGAGTACAAGGTGATGTGGGATGGACATCATCTGAGGGCAGGGGAACTAGCAGCAAGATAAAATTTGAGAAGAGATTAAGAGAAATGGGGGAGAAGCGTTGGGCTAGGAAGGTATTCAGGTACTTGTACATGTAGAATGTCAATAAAAAATGGAGGAAGCGAACCGGAAAATTGACTGGTAAATACTTAGAGAGCAGCAGGGGGCCAAACCAAAAAGAATTATCGATTAAGAAAAAGGTGAAGGAAGCTTCGCACTAGAGATCTATCGAAATTTTAAGCAGGAAATTGCCAAGGAGAGGATCTATGAAAATACTCGGGGTAGTTCTCTACTGTTTGAGGCCAGGACGGGAGTATTACGAATGAAGACATATCGGGCCAAATACGAAGGGGTAGACCCGGTATGCAGTGCGTGTGGAGAGGAAGAGAAAACTGCTGAACACTTGATAATGTTCGGTGAAGGGCTTCACCCTATAGTTCAGGATGATGGCCCAGAGTTTTTCAAAACAATGAGGTTTAGGGACAGGGAGGGCAAAAAAGACTTTAAGCGGGTAGACTTAACTAGAAGGAGGTTATCTGATTGATGGCTAAAGTCAAGGCACGAGTGAAAATTAAACCCTTCAATGCAAAGTACCAGTCCTCAACCTCACAATTTAAAAAAAAATAAATCTGGTTTTGGTTCACTAACTAATACTTAGTGAACCACAACTAGATTTATTTATTATTTATTTATTATAATTTGTTATTATTTATTATTACGGCGTGGTGACGTGAGCCACCGCCCGATCTAAATGGCACAGCCATATCAATCCATCCATCCATCCATGTGGTTTAATTTGATAGGATGGAGGACGGCAAGACAGACAGATGAACGGCTGAGCTGAGCAGCCCGCAAAGCATCGTCCCCACTCATCATCATTCACTCGGTATATTTGCTGCTGATTCTTTTTTTCGTTTCTCCTAACCATATACAGTTTGTAAATGTTGGGATTGCCTTATACCGAAGGGCAATCTTAGCAGCGATGTCCTTGAATGTCTCCAGCGCATCCCCGAAAGTGCTGCGCTACTCCGTCATGACGTCTTCGCAGACAAAACTGCCTTGACATCTGTCGTGAGGTAAGTTCTATTCTCAGTGCCTTCAAGCAGCCCCGCCCTATTAGGAATAGGCAGCGGCCGGAGGTGATGTAGAACAGATCGTCACGCACATGGTTGCCAAGCCACACGAACTCTACCAGGGTTCATGTGAAATGTGTGAGCTCGCCGGAATAGCTTTTCAACAGGACAATTGATGGTTCCAGGTGCACGGACTGGCACTTGCGGTGAAAGGTGTCCTTGGAGACAACCGACACACCTGAAGCCATGTCAAACTTCATCAGCAGTGAAATTTCATTCAAGGAACTTTGACACAAAAGGGCTGAGTGACCCCAGCTCCTTGCACTTTGCACACTTCGTACACTTGCGGCACATCGAACCGCTTTTTAGGTTCCGTCACACCCGGTGCCGTGCATGGCGTGCCCAATTTTTTCATCCCAGACGGCGGTGCCTGGTGCTTGATATTCGCCTCACTATTCTTCCCCTTACACACACGAGGAAGATGGCCCTTGAGCTTATAGTTGTGGACATACAGTTTTCAGATGACGGCACTGCATCGCCAGATGCTCACCGACACAGTGAAAGCACACAACGAATGCTGCTTTCCACCTCGGCTTCGAACGAACCACGTGACAGAACGCAATCGGTGCAACGAATGACACTGGCGCTATCCTATCGAAAGCGCGCGCGAATCCTTGCTCGTCGCCTTCATCACAGTGATGGTTTTGTTTGCCACGTTTAGCGTCGATCCGGCTGCTCGAACTGTCGTCTCTGCACAGCTTCATCGTTAATGCCTGCCTCGATGCGGTCACGCCGCATTGTGTCATGAAAGGTGCCAAACCCGCAGTCGTCAGCGAGATTGTTCAAAGACAAGAAGTATAGTCCACATCCGTTTCACCTGCCTGTCGTGTTCTTGAGGTCAACGTGGATGTAGCAACGACTTAATTGCGACAGTTTTCACGAGAAATGCTTTCCAAAATAATCAAGAATGGTCGTCAAACTTGCCTAGCGTGGCTTTACAGGCGCCAGTAAGTTACGAAGCAGGCTGTGTGTGGCCGGGCCACAAGACTTCGGCTCATATGGCAGCCCGGTGTTCTATCACAGAGCCGTTATTGTGCTTGAATCTGCTTTGCACACTAATCGTATGCCGGCTTCATGTCGGTTTATGAATCTCGTGAACGTGTGGTCTTTCTCTTAAACAGGAAACATTCAAAAGCCATTCAAACACTGCAGCATTTTTTGCCATTATTGTTGAACAGTGTCGGACGCTATAGGTTGAGACTTTGTGATGCATGATCAATTTATAACTCTTCTACGCAGCTGTTCTTCACGGCGACTTGAACGAAAACAACGTGCTGACGAGCCCAATGGGCGGACAACGAGAACGAAGATGACGAAGTGTATGGGGTGCTGGACTGGGGTGACGTTCATGGTGGTGCACGGGTGATGGACCTGGCCGTGCTGCTGACGTACGTGCTTATGGCGCCCTCTTCTCTCGACCGATCGTCCGAAGAGAACGCCGGATTAGCACTCACCGGATATCTACAGCACGTGCCTGATGAGGCGGCGAACCTGCCCTTGTTAAAGGCGAGCCTAAAAATGTTTGGCACATGAGTGCATATGACTTTTTTTGCAGTCTATCAGTGGCAATTACCTACTGACTCGTTGTGACTTACGTGTAACAAATTCCCTGTTACGTCACTGCCAGTTGATTGGGGCCACAAGTAGAGACGTATACTTTTTGTGGTCTTCCAGACCACACTGTCTAGTGCCGGCCGGATCGCCGTTCGGTAGACTTGAAAGAAGCCGGATTTCAAGGTCTAAATACCCAAAGTAGTCGAGTCATTTCATGTCATCGCCAAACTCGTAGCAAAACTGCACAAAAGCGGTATAGTGACTAGTTTGTGTTATTACACATAAATGTGTTTTGAAATGTGCAAAAACATTGAAATAACATGGTATTTCTCCCTTTTTTGTCAAGCCACAGGTGCAAATAGCGGTTTTTTATCTATCTATCTTTCTATCTATCTATCTATCTATCTATCTATCTATTTATCTATCTATTTATCTATTTATTTATCTATCTATATATTTATCTATTTATCTATCTATCTGTTTATTTATGTGTTTGTGTATTTATTTGTGTACTATGTGTACTATAAGGCCAAGAGCCTTACAAAGCGGTGTAGACCAAGCACAAACAAAATGGTAACAAAATACTAAGTGCGGTCAGCATAAAAAAATGATCAGTCTTTTGACAGACCAGTACTTGTCGAATTATGGCTGCGGCATCATGAACACGAAGATTACCAAGTACGAAAGTGTTTCCACTCGTTTCTGCCGCCAAAATGGAATACGTACCTCGTAGCAATAACTAAAGCTAGAATAAACTTGTCATGAAGGGTGCTAGCATGTACGTATACTATAAACTAAGGTGAAACTGCAAGAACTTCGATGCATCGTTACAGACAAAAGAGCTGGATTTCATGACTTATTACTGCAACGCGATTTCGTTACAGAGAGTATCGCATCCTTTCTCTATACATTGCGTGGTATGCGAACATTTAAATATTGATAATAAGTGACATGCTGAAGAGGTAAATAGCCAGACTGCTAGTGCCTCGGGCGACACTGATAATTTTTGGTTTTTGATTAGTAGTTCCACAAACATTTTTGAGACCCAGGTGGAAGAAAGACTATACACGAATGGTCAGTATAGATGCGTAAGTTCACTGCGCCAGCATATACTTATGATAGATAAAGTTCTTGACGTAGTAATCATGAAAAAACACCCAACACGCTTGTGGAAACATTAGGTGCTTGTTGAAATTTAATTAACTGACGCAAATACTCGAACACGGATGGAGTACACAGGACGCAGACATTTAGTGTGCTTTTCCTTGAAGCCACACCTCGAAATTGATTATTAGACTTACTACGATAAAAGACGAGCTTCAAATTTTTGTGGACCTTTGTTGTCCGCCATGCTCACTCGAGAAGCCGCATGGCGCTTTAACAATCAGAAATCGACTTCAGAGGACCTTGATCACCTTCAGCCCAGATATTGTGCTCTGCCAGTGTTATCTTAGTGGAACACTGTGAAGATGAATGAACACTAGTTCTAATCGCGAGACTGACTTGAATCGTCTGGTATCTGATTTTAGATCACACGGGCTTAAATGTGTGCATCTAAACTCCAGGTCTATCTGCAATAATACATTGCTATTGGAAGACTTTTTCAGTCAATTTTGTTTTCACTTTTCGGTTATCATGTTCAGAGAAACATGAAGCACGTATACGAATGTGACGTTTTCAGGGTGAAAGGCTATAGCACAAATAATTTGAACTGACCTTTTGGTCGCTGGGTTGGTGTTGCTCTACTAACTCAAAAATAAATTGACTGTGAACTAGTAGATGCGTTCAGTTTCACGTCACCTTGTTACGAAGTGCTGACATTGTTTGCAGATAAAATACTCTACTCATGCTACCAGCCGCTATGGGGACATATCCCTGCATTCTTTGGATTTTATGAACGTTTTCTTTCGTAGTTGTAGACAGCAGGTGCATGTTGATTGCTGCAGGCGATTATAACATTGGTATGGGGGTGATTACTCCAGAGAGTGCTAATTTGAGAAATATATTATTGTCATAGGGGTTTGAAAGTGTTAATAATGATCCAACACGAATAACAACTCAATGTCAATCAGTGTTAGACCTATTCATAAAACTTTTCGTTATCTCAGATTAAAGCCGGTGCCTTGCCATGTTTCATTAGTGACCACCTTCCTGTGTTTTTTTTCTGTTTAAATAATGCTGGTATACCCAAAACAGCCCACCTGTGGAAAGCTTCTAGCAACCAATAACTGATACGGCTCTTAACGCATTTAGAAGGGAGCTGCTCCAGACTGACTGCTCCACGATACTGAATTCAGATGATGCTGACCTTGCACACAATGCATTTTTAGATATAAGAGAGAACATTTAGGAAACCATGGGTGACGCACGAGCTCTGCCAACAAATGAAAACAAAGGCTCTTTAGAAAGTTTCTTGAAACTTGCAATCTCGATGACCAGACCAAGTTCAAAAAATATCAAAATAGGTTAATTATGAATCTGCGCATCGCACGAGAAGAGTACTTCTCACCTTTCATGAATATGAAAACTTCGTCAAGCGAGCTGCTTTCGGACAAAAAAAGGTGTAACTTGGTCGTGGTAATAACCATAACAGCGTATCCAAACTTACATTAGAAGGAAGAGAGCTAAATAGGGTGGAATCGGCTGACGCATTCAACAATTTTTTGCAAATATGAGTACCTTGGGTAGTCCTACAGATGCATGTCAATATATTAGAATGATGAACGATAAAACTTCATTATGCCACCAGTCACAGTTCAGGAAGTGATCTGAGTAACTACAAATTTAAAGAAGAGCAGCAGTAGAGATATAGATAAAATCCAGATAAAACCTTTGAAATTTGTTGTACACATAATAGCGCCTGTTCTTGCGCAGATATTCAATATCTGCATGACTACATGAGTTTTCTCAGTAAAATGCAAATAGTCAAGGTAACAGTGCTCTACAAAAAGAGGAGTTAGAAAGATATTACCTATTTTTTTCAAAACCTCTTGAGAAACTGATTCATTGTTGGCTTTCACATTTTTTTTTCGAGAACTGCAGTATATTAACCCCCCCAAAGTTTCGGTTCCGGAAGAACAAATCAACAGAATGAGCGTTGCTTCACCGGAAAGAATTTGTTTACAAGAATTTGAAAGCAAGAAATAGTAATTGGCTCATTTGTTGATTTTTCCAAGGATTTTGACTTGCTGAACCATGAGTTCTTGTTAAGCAAGTTAGATATTTATGGTGCTCGTGGTTGTGGGTTAAACTTACTGCGGTCATATCTGTCCTATAAGCGACAAGTTGTCCAAAGAAATGATACAGGATCCCAAATTCTGCCACTGCTCTGTGGTGTTCAACAGGGCAGCATTCTGGGACATTTGCTCTTCAACCTCTACATTATTGACATGGTTGATAGTATTAATATTGCAAATGTTTATCATATATGCCGATGATACAACCATATTTTTTCTCTGCAAACAGCATAGACTATCTCATATCAAATTGTAATGACACCTTAATCAAACTACAACAGTGGTCTTTATTCAGTTTTATGAAGAATAATGAAAATAAAACAAAGGCGGTTCTAATTCAAGTCAAGAATAAGCCAATCCCTCTTCATGCAGACATAAATTTCAATTCCTGCCCAGTTCATATTGTCGACCACTTTAAGTGCCTTGGTGTTGTATTAACCGCGCACATGTCTTGGAAAGTGCATATGAACTCAGTGCTGACAAAATTAGCTCAAATAACTGGAATTGGCTCAAATGCATTCTCTCTCTAATACTTCATACCCTAGTTTACAATTCTGTTTTCTATTCACATCTCAACTACTGTCTACTTATCTGAGGTACGACTTCATTCTTTAATTTGCAGAAAGTGCATGTTATGCAGAAACATTTTTCTATGAAATGTTTAAAACCCTCTATATCATGCAACAACTAAAAGCTTCTTTCATAAAGCTAGTATTATAACAGGTCACAAATTATACTATTATTGGCTAAGTAATAGATATAGATATGAACTAAGACATAACATACATAATTTAGACTCCCTAGCACATTTGCGAATGACCACTACTCTAAAACGAGACACAGAGAGAATTGAAAAGTTGTCACACCCCGTTTAAATACTGCTATAAAGCATTTACGTCATTCTTTATCATCCTTGTTAAACCTTCTTCAGTCAATCGATTTTGATTTGCTTTGTTGCTCCTCAGCTGTACTTATATTTGTGTTTGTATAAGAAAGCTAATTTTATTGACCCTGGAGTTGTATTTTTTGTATGCTTTTTTGCAGGCTATTGTATATTGCTTTTATTTTGCAGTAATCATGTATGTTTTTATGTTTTCATTTTGTGAACTGTGTTTTCTTTTGCTGTTGCCCACATGCCATACATTATTTTGGGCTACAGACTAGTATAGCCGCCTATAGGCAGCTTTTTTCCGTTGTCCTCGATCTGCGAGATTGTAGAAGGTAGAAAAAAAATTTAATTTGAATTTAAATTTAGATGCCTCGATAAGCTCCTCAAGGGTAATGTGTAAACCCAGATGAAGGAGGAGTTTGGGGCTGGTGTTTTCAAGCAAACCAAGCGCTTGCTTGTGAATTCCCCTAAAAAGGCTGTTGCATTCAGACTTTTCGGTGGTGAACGATCGGGGGTACGCCACCGTATAGGTGATGTGACTGAGCACGAATGATTGGAGTAGGCGGATGATGCTAGTCCCTTACATGTTTTTGTGTTAATTGGTGGTGCGCCCGGTGAGGCGCATCGTATTCGACACTGTGGCGTCAATGTTGCAAACTGTGATTGATTAATATGTTGATTGATTTGTGAGGTTTAACGTTCCGAAACCACCATATGATTATGAGAGACACTGTAATGGAGGGTTCCGGAAATTCGGATCACCTGGGGTGTTTTAATGGGCACCCAAATCTTAGCACACGAGCCTACAGCGTTTTCGCCTCCATCTA